CGAAAATTGTAGACTTGCCGCTCGTGTACCAATGTACCCTACCCCTTCAATCCCAACCCCCTCGCACGGCCATTTGCCATTTTGGGAAAAAAAAACTTGGTGGAGGTCAAATGTTTCGACTGGTCTCTGAATAACACGCTAGAGGGGAAGGGGGGGGGAGGAGTGCCGAAATCATTCGAAAAGCGCTAACGCGACCGTTGACCCTGCGTTGATGGTCGATGGTGTCAATGGTGCTGAACCTAGTCATGTGTGACATCCTCTTGACTCTTACCGACCTCCAAAAAAGCGTCGCGGGAGCTATCGGGGGAACCATAAGTGACAGCCTAATTTCACGCCTATATCCCGCACTTCACTATCTCCATTGTCCCTGAGCATGAACCTGCATCATCCCCTGAACTTGAACAAGACCGTCTCCTCCCGCTAAAGCAAATACAACCCCTATGCGAGGAATCTTGGTCCATCCTTACATGGGTGTGGTTGTGATTACGGTGCTGGGTTAGCAGGAAGGGTGGATTCGCTCACACTATCCTCCGTTACCCTGGTCCTTGCTATGGGTATAATAAATACATGGGCATGCAGATAGTTGTGTGGGTAGGAATGAATGTCACTGCGGTTGTGTTGTCCCCGTTCTGTTCATCACTGCTTTGAGATCCCCTCCTTAGTGGTCTTCTTTTCCGGACTACAGTAACTGTAAGATTATTATCGCCTTTCCGATCCAGAAATCAGAAACCTGTTGGGAAGCGCATCACAAGTAACTCACCACGGGAGGCTTTTCTCCAACTGGATCTAAAGCTCTTATTAGGAAATCTCCATTCTTGTGAAGCAATCCTACGATGTCCTCAAATGGGAGAAATCCATGATACCATTCCTGATATTCTAGTTCCTATAAAAAGTCGATCGAAATTCTTGGGATTTTGGGGTGGAACGCACTGTTGAAGTTTTGGGGGATTTCGGGGCGGAGTTGGAGTGTGGAGTGGCACCAGATCCAGCGCCGCTGTGAACAACGATCAGCAAAGTGAGAGGAAGGGAGTAGGGTCGCACTACAATCTTGGCAGCGAATTGGTTATTCAAAATGAGGGCCCTTACAAATCAATTTGGCTCAGCACGCACCACGCACATGTCAAAGAAGACCTCAGCAGAATTGAGAATAGCCGGGCTCGGCGCTCATGTCCTTAGGGGGGACATTCAAAACAGAACATTCGAAAACCGCTGGCAGGACTGAGCCCAGGATTGGGAATAAACACCAGGGAGAACAATTGTTGCTCACATCCTTTCCCAGAATCCTTTCTCCTCCCTAAGGCTTAGTCCCGAGTTCTATGAGCTCCACTCACTTCAATGTCCCCCCTAAGGACATGAGCGCCGACGGGCTCTTGTATTGAGCGGCAATGCTTGCTTTGCAATGGTCTGAGCTGCATTATTATCAAAAGTTACTTAGTGCTTGGGATAAAGCGGTTATTCAACGAGCTTCCATAACCCTTATTTTTTGGAACTAACATGATATAGCGGCCGACTAAGCTTGAGTAACTATCATGATCAATTCGGCTGCTTACTATCAGCACTTCAATGTAAACAACTACCATACTCCTGATGTTGGGATGGTTTAGCGGTTCTGAATTAACTTTTTGTCCAGTGACATTGGAACAGCTAAACCCCCATACGCAATATGTGTCTCGAACCCCGGACACTCTCAAGAAGCCCTAGGTAGAGGCGCTCGAATGGAATTCGATGCTGGACATCCACGCCCCTAGCAAATGCTGCCAATGATCCTTCAACCATATCGCTTCTTGTCACGTGTCCCTAATGTGTTTGTCGTCCGATTCGACCCTCTATGTATTACTGGCACCACAACCACCTCAGCTGCTGGGCCGTATGCTATGGATTTCGCGACTCTTGCGCTATAGCGATCTTTATCAATTTTATTAGCAGGTATCACTTTTTATCACCCCCAAATGTTTCCCATCTCACCCTCTACATCATATCTGAGAGTCAATCCCTCAATACTGCTGGCCTGCGCGCGCATGGATTTCCGCGTTAGAGCCTTACAAAGTGAACACTCCGAGCAAATGCTGAAGGCACAAGGGTGAGATTCCGCGCAGGGCCTTTTGGTTTTGTCAGGTCATGGGTTTGGCTTCCCATATGGAAATCGTTCTACTCTACCACATTTGTTGCTGCCAGACCCAGCAAGTTCAGTTCCGTGCACTCCCTTCCCTGAGTACCCCCCAGAAGGCCCGTCTGCGACGAAGTGAGTGACGCAGGCGCGGTAGAGGACGAGTCGCACCCTAGGAGCAGTTGGGGTGTACTGAGTTTGGAAGGGATGTGCTAGTACAAAGAAAACAAGCAAGTTAAGCGGCGTGACTAAGCAGATATCGCATTTTTGAGCCCACGCCGTGGAGTGAATGGTGTGGGACGTACTGTAATGCGTTATATTGAACTTGACGCCTAACCGCTACAGTATGCGGTGCGACTCGTCCTCTGCCGCGCCTGCGTCTCTGACTTCGTCGCGCGACGGGCCTCCCGGGGGTATCCCCCTTTCCTCATCTCAAGGTGGAAAGGAGGGAATTTTGTTGGGGGCTCCATCGCGCTTCATTCCGATTTTGTTACTTTTCCAATGAACTCCGCACCCCCACCTTCATTATCGGGAACCGTTACCTCATTGAGTTGATCCGGGTTGTTGCTCAAAGAAAAATCGCGCACGCGCAAAATCAATACCTATTCAGAATTGTATTTAGTGATGAGTTGGGTTGAAGCGCATATGCAACTGGCTTTTCTCGCTACCTTGTAGCTTGTTGATTGTATTTATTGCAGGCTTATTTCACGGCATGGCATTTGGTCCATCGATCGATTCCCATGAGATTAATGGCATGTTCGAATTCACTAATCTAACGCTGCTTTTCAGGCAAAAGTGGGTACTTACAGCCAGTATTCGTTCAACGTGCTCGTCCATTATTCCAATTCCATGTCGTAAAGAGCATTTCTGAACAAATAATACCTCTATCTGTTCCTTCAAATCAAGATATTGGTGCTCATGCCTTCGGGGGAGGGGAGGGGGGGGGGATTTTAAGTGAGTGAGTCACTTACAGCCCTTGAGATTACTCCTCGAGGAGGGAAGTGGACTCTCGGGGAGTTTCTGAGCAGCTGAGTTGTCCCTGGCGTTTCGCCCATCAATTGAACTTCGCCCGAGTGTCATTTACCATCGGCTCGGTTTGGGTCACCCTACCCCCCCCCCCGAAGGAGATGAGCTCCTCCAGACATCGTAAAGAAACCTTTGCGGCTACTGTATCATTTCGTGGGGATTCACTTTCAGCAGAGGGCGATCCCTTCTGTGTACTTTCCCGCGATAATTTCTTTGGCACTTCACACATAGGCGTTCTTGGTCGAGGAGGTGGTGATTTTTGCGGTAAAAATACTGGAGTTTTTCCTCGTAAAGAGTATCGTCCCTCCCATTTGTCAGTCTTGGCTCGGAATGGTGATTGAGGCTTCAAAGAGCTATTCCTAGGAGATTTTCTCGTGGTTTTCTTGCGTCTACAAACAGGCGTTTTAGCACGGAGAGGTATCGTGTCGTATTGCTCGCCGCTAAGTTTGGCGTCAACGCGTTCTGCGGAATGTCCAAGTGCCTCGAGTGCTGCCTTCTGGAGAAGCGGCGAATTGGCCCAATCTGTCAGTGATTCCCTCTGAGTAGCCATTTCTTGACCCAACGCGTATATGGGTACCATATCCTCATCGGCTATCGCCGTCTGAAATAGTGAGTTAGTGTCCTGAATGTGAGGGAAAGAGAGTAGGTGCTACCTTCACAGCCGCGTCAGGAGTTCCCATTTCGCACGTTGCCTCTGAAGTGACTGCTTCGTGTGGAGCTCAAGTACAATGTGGACCACCCCCTACAGATCGTCGTGTTTTGCTATGGGATGATAAAGCTAGGGATAACCGCTCGATAGCTTCTGTTTTGCTTTGTTTATCATTCTTCTGCTCTACAAACACACGTAATCAGTGGAAATCCTCGTTTTCTATCTTTAACACTTTTGTTAGGCCAAAACATCGTTTACCACTAAAACCGCTCAAAACTGGTAATGGAGCGTTCATAGTTGGCGATCGCACGTGCGATTAGGCGATTAGGCGAGTAGGCGATAAGAGAAGGATACGTATTGTTGCTCCGCCCATTGAGCGATCGCCTAATCGCCTACTCGCCTACTCGCCTGATCGCCTACTCGCCTAATCGCCTAATCTAAACGTATATTTCTTTTCCTAAGGGCGCGGAGCGGTGCGCAATTCGCTGCGAATGATATGCCTCCGGCGACCTAGGATGTCCCTCTCCGCGGCGCTATCGGCGCGGTACACCCACCGACTGGCTACTCACTCGCCGAAGGTTTTTTCTTCTATTAAGCAGAGAGAGAGAAGCGCGTTAGCGTGGGCGGGAAGGGAACATGCGTGGAGTCGATCAGTGCGGGCATTCAACGGAAAAAAGGGCTCATTTCTCGTGGTTTCTGAGCCGTTTTTCCATGGCTTTTCTTCATCTCGGCACCACTGACTACCATTACCTTGATTCTAATGGGCTGCCTCCAAGTCGTAAGCTCCCCCTGAATCTCATCTATTAACTACAGGGTGGTCCAAAATTATGAGGACCGCGTGCGCGCGCGGTCATATCCACTTTTTTCCGAGTCGCTCCATTTTCATTTCCTTTTCTGTGCACCATGTGATAGGGTACAGTGTATTCTTCCTTTCGAAACTAAACTTCATGCAGTTCTCAAAACTAGTGAAAGAGCAACACCTCCTTATGTCATTCCTCAAATTGAACTCACTAAGGGCTCTGGCACGTTACATCTAGCGGCAGTCTAACGTATCAGGGAAGCTCTTATGGGCAACAGTTCAACTCTTCAATAAGTTTGGAACCACCACAGATGGAAAATTCGGAGACTCGAAAGTTACAGTTACCACCAGGACAATTATCAGATGCAGAAACTAGGTCTCCCCTTGTCGACTTTCGTACTCCCAAAATGAAAAAATCGATGTGAAAACCCAGCCAGACACTCTAAAGACTCCACATCTGTAGTGGATAGAAAGCCACTTGAGTACCTACTTGGGACGTTTTACTGGACCGAGCACCCAAGAATAGAGCAAAAATTCTCTAAAAAGCTATTTTTCGAGTTTGTTGCTCTCGAAGAATTGTTACAATGGAACCCTCCACCTAACAGCTCTAGAATTCTGTATTTTACACCCTGAGACATGGGTAAATGAATGCCCCACAAAACGTTGATCCCCTGAAGAAAGCAGAGCAGAAGGCCTGGAAACATTTTGACACGCCTCAGTTGCGTGCCACCGCACGCGCCACCCCCTTCGTCTGAAGGCTCGTGTAAACGCGGCAGGTGGCAGATCTCAATTCTATTCTGGAATTACTTTGAGATACTAGTTGCAAACACTTCCCTGTAGTTTGTTTGCTCCATCAAGCTACTATATGCGTTTTTAACGACACAAAAAAAAATTTGTTTATCGTGGTCCTTCATAATTTTGGGACCACCCTGGCAGATCAATAGAGCTTTTCTTAAAGGCAGCGGTTACGATAAAGTGAGAGCGCATCGGGGAAGTATATGCATCACACGAATCAATTACTTGGCTGCCAAGGAAGCGAGGTGTAGCGCTTTCACGACGAAAGGTTCGCTGGTTGCTGAGCAGGACTTCGAAAGCACTCCGCCCCAAAAGCGATCCGCCCACTAGTTTAGTTGGTGATTTGGACGAGCAGCGTTTGCCAGCAGCGGCACAACTGGAGCAACTCGATTGGAGTGTGGTTTGGCATGCTGTTGCCAAACCAACAGAAAAGCAACGGCCAAAAAAGAGAGTTTCATCCTGTATTTTTTGATTTCCCTGCTTTTCGCCACCGACATCCACTGATGCACCACCAACGTTTCCTCCTCCAAAGCTTCTTGAAAACTGTTTGTAGTCGCCGCCTTCAACTTCATATTGTGTAGCATAAAACCAAATCACGCAAAAAAAAATTCGAAGAATTTTGGCATGAGCTACTGGCAGTTGGTAACTTTGAAGGACTCTCACTATTAACTATTTACACCTAGTCTATTTATGCTACAAACACCCCACATGTTTGACAATGATCCTAATTTGCTGCTGTGGACTAAAGAGGAATTGAGCGTGCCGGTATTTGTAGCACAGGTACCAAGCTTTTTTGCTTGAAAACGTGAAGTTAATTCGTACTCAAGAACCCTCGAAGTGCAAACTTCCAACGAATTTGGTGCTAGAAATGGTCCTTCCCCAGGCGCCCGTGAACACCAGAGCTTTCGCCATTACACTCACCAGGAAGGTCTTTCAGGGCGTGACAAGCTTTTTGAAAACGGTCTTTTGCATGATATAGGGGCAGATGCGGGAACCACAGAACCATGTTAATTTTTCCTGAACGGCCCTCTGAATACCAGAAAAGGGGGTCCCTAGTTCGATTCCTCGTGGTGACAAATTTTTGCATTTCGAGTTTGACGTTCCAAAATTCGCGCAAAATGGAATTAACATGCTAACAATGAATACCAGGCTCCATAATATTAGGGCCGTCAGTAACTCCTACAAAAAGACTTTGACTTAAAAAAAATTGGTGTGAGAGGCGTGACATCAAGCAGCCCCACTGTGGTGTCACACCTTTTTCACCAGTTTTTTAATTCAAAGTTTATTTGTAAGGGTTTACTGACGGTCCTAATTATGAATATGGCAATTATTGTTCGTGCACTCCATCTTGCACGAATTTTTAAAGGTTAGCTTGAAATGCAAAAGTTTGTCACCACGAGAGAGTCGAAAAGGGACCCTTTTTCTGGTATTCAGAGAGCCGTTTAGGAAAAATAATCATGTTCTGTGATTCCCGCATGTGCCCCTATATCATGCAAAAGACCGTTTTGAAAAAGCTTGGCACCCCCTGAAAGACCTTCCTGTTAGATATTAATGTTCAAGTGGGGTGGTTCTCCCAGGTGCAAATTTCCAGCCAAATCTACCTCCTAGACAGATTTCGAGAAAAATCCGGCTCAAGTCTGGAAAATAGACACAGTTTCCCAAAAAAATAATCTTATAGCCTATGAAAATATTACATATATGGTAATTATGAGGGGTTGTTTTCGCAACTTCCAGGCGGCTGAAGGGGCTAGCTCCTTGTAGGGAATGAACCAGTATTCGAGTTGTTACTGCTAATTAAGTTTGTTCAAGGGAAGTGAACCGTGCAAACCGCCGGTATAGCAGCAGCCGCAGTGAAACCAGCGGCGGGGTTAGCGTAAAATCGAAATCATTATCGATACAATTAGTTGCAATGAGTTCTACTAAGAACAAACCGAATGGCATTGAGAACTGCCGTGGGAAAATGCGCACGATGTGGCGAACGTCGAGCGCCGTAAAACTGAAATCACGAACTGATGTTGATGGCAAGGTTAGTCCTATTACCCGGACCGCTATAAAGCTTCGTTGCCGCGGAAATGTCAACCTTCTCACCATGGACTCCGACCATCGTTTGAAGGCCTATCGCTTTGTAGCCTATTCGGCTGTCACCTTTTCGGTGGTTGCCGTTCTTTCCGTATGTGTCACCCTTCCGATGGTCTACAGCTATGTGAGCCATGTGAAACGTTCGATGTACGACGAGATCCGTCACTGCAAGGTGAGCTTCTTTTTGCCCAATCTATTTCTCCCAGAATTATCTACACTTTTTCAGAGCTCCGCCAGCGACATCTGGGGAGAAGTCACCCACCTGAAGAATCTCCCATCCGGCAACAGAACCGCACGTGAAGCTGGATACAGTGAAGGTGTAAACGGCGGCGGCGGCAGTGGATACAACGGAGGTGGTGGCGGGCGGGCGGCGGTGGTGGTGGCGGTGGAGGCGGAGGCGGCGGTGGTGGCGGCGGCGGCGGATGCAGTGGATGCTGTAATCCTGGCCCACCAGGAGCAGGAGGTACCCCAGGACGACCTGGAAGACCTGGAAAGCCCGGAGCAAATGGTATGCCAGGAAACCCAGGCAGAGGTGGCGGTGGATGTGGACCAGAAACTCCACCACCATGCCAACCATGCCCAGCTGGACCCCCTGGACCTCCTGGACCACCAGGACCAGCTGGAGGTGCTGGAACTGACGGACCACCTGGAAACTCTGGATCCGGTGTCAATGCTGGACCACCCGGACCTAAGGGACCACCTGGCCCCAACGGAAATCCTGGCCAACCTGGAGGACCTGGACAGCCTGGATCACCCGCCATCTCTACACCACCTACTCCTGGACCACCTGGACCTCCTGGACCAGCTGGAGCACCTGGAACGCCAGGACCTGATGGACAACCTGGATACGGTGGAGGAGCTGGTAGGTTTTCACATTCTCTTCACTGGAATATGGATTTTTCAAGGTGCAAGATTAATTCTGTCTATTTCAGGCACACCTGGTCCCAAGGGACCTCCCGGATCCAACGGCCAACCCGGTGCCGATGGAAACCCAGGACCTCCCGGTCCACCTGGAAATGGCGGCGGACAGGGAGAGCCCGGTATCTGCCCCAAGTACTGCGCCATCGATGGAGGCATCTTCTTCGAGGATGGAACTCGCCGTCGTTAAACTCGACGTCATCAGACAGAGTACTAGGTCGAATAAAGCTAGTTTTACACATGAGTGATCTGTTAAAGAGATAAGTACTGAAAATAGTAGAGGGAAATCCAAACGCATTCTCTCTGTGATGTATTTTGCGCGGCATTTGTGGAGCTTTTGGTGCAGTCTTTCACAGGATTGCACCTAGTGCTGGTGTGGGTTCCATGAGAATCACCGATAGCTCCGGTCATATTTCCTGTTTGGTTTCGTGCGCCCAGCCTGTAGCCCAAAGTTTGCCTTTGAATGAAATGGGGCTGAGAACACAAATCGGCATCGACCCTTATTAAGAGTTGTCTCGTTGTCTGCGTTTCGCTAGGCTCTTTGCTCTCTTACCCTCCCAGTATTTTCAGCTCTTGTTGTTTATTGTCGGTATGCTAGTGTAATAGGGCCTTATTATGAGTTTTTCAAATGTACTCTTTCACTTTTTCTCCCATTAGCTAGGGCTTTAGCACCTGCAGGTACATATTTGAACATTACTACCAACACATCATGTTCGTGGAATGTTGGTGCCTTCGTCTTCGACTGACCCTGTCCTTATTCACTTCATCTGGCAAGTGCTGAAAACTGCGAATTGGGATGAAAGTTGACTCAGGTGCATAACCGGTTCTGCCCCGACCTGCGAACATGTTTCCCACAAGGTCGATATGTTGATCTTATCGGTATAAGCGATTTCCTAATAGGTTTAAACTAAGAATGGGCATAACTAGCTAGGACAGTTCTCTGGGAATTCGGGTACTGTAAAATTAAGGCCTGATCGTTTTGAGGTTTGAAATATTCTCTTCTAAATATTGTAGTAACGTTTCCATGTACCACTTGGATAGATAGGCAACTCTACCTGTCGTCTATCTCACCTTTTGGGTTATGATCAGGGTCGGAGTTTGGCCACCCTAACCCTAACAGTGACCCTTGTCGCTATTTCTTTATCACGAGTAGAATTGGAAGTAGAATTCTCAGTATTGAATGGGTCTTTATTTGAAATAGACATATTTTGACATATTTAGGGGCAGTTCGTCGGTCGTTCCCTGATACAGTATCCTTGGATCTAGCAGGATGGCAGGTTGTAGAGTGCTTAATAAAAAACACTTCAACCCAGTGACCGAAATGCGAGTTTTGGCTGTATTTGGCAACTGTGGCGGCGAAGCGATTTTGTGCATTGCATTTGTCGCGGTATACATATCCCCTGCATGGTCCAACAGGGGCCCATGTATTGGAAGCTTAAACGTATAAACAACTTTAGAGAGCGGTGACTAAGTAAGTTAGGTCAAATAATAAAAGCACATACAAAGTAGTTCCTCCAGCAGAAGTTTGATTGAGAAAACGCTTATTTAGGGTTACAAAATGGATCAAATTGAAGACCTTGTTGAAGAACCTTCGTATGCGTTCTTCTATGAAAGTTAGAACTTCTTTATCACTGGGCGAATTCGTCGTGCTTAAAGGCACAACCCAGGCAGAGGTTTCGTGTGAACTCTTCTCTTCGGTCAGAAGTATAGAACCCTAGGGGACAATCACAAATGTGGCGTTCACGTGCACGGAATTCGACCGACAAGAACGCTTTGGGCTTGCAAAGTAAGCTGCTCGAGCTGCAGCGAACGAGCTCTCTTATCAGGCCGTTGTCTGGTGCTCTCTCATCTGATGCGCTCTCTCGCCCCATACTCTCCTCTTCGCGCTTAGTCTCTCGTTCCTTTAGCACAGCCAATTAGGAAGGTGAGTGAGCCCTCAACCTGAGCGTTTTCGACGGATTCTTTTCCTTTTTTCTTCACTGCCGGCCCACTTGGCACCGATACATTCACATTCGTGTGCAAGAGCCACACCAGTGCGATCCTGGGGCATGCCTTTAATTTGCAAAACATTATAAATGTCAATTTCACAATTATACTTCTTTCTTATAAGTTAAGTGTGAGTTTGAGCTTAATTGAAATGTTCACGAAATTTGGAAAACCTTTGTTGAATTAAAACATATTTTATTATTCCATGGATCACAACGTTTATAGTCTTTCAAAATCCGATCTATAAAATAGAAACCAGAAAACTTCGGAGGAAGTCGTGCATCTGCGGAAAAGATGATGAAACGGTCCGAAGTGGCCTGCAAAGCGCGGAATATCCCCCGCGCCGTGGTCTATGTGTTAGCGCTTGAACGACATCGGTAGGTATGCATTGAGTCACACAGATTCAATCTTTCTGCGCTGCTCAGTGCACGGCGTATCCCAGTTGAAATGATGCGATCTTCTTTTCCCTCAAATTCACTGAGAATACAAATATTTACTTGTCAAACAATACTATCATACAGGTAAAAGTCATGGTGATCCACAGAAATCGGCTACGCTCGAACTCCGACGTTGACGAATTGACGAAACGTTCTGACTGGAAATGCATTTATAGATATGGTGGCCGTGATTATAGCCAATAAAATCTCATTTCTAATCAATAAAGTGGGACCGTATTCCGGCATAGTCATGACATGCCACGTGACCGATTTTTTGACGGGTTCATGTGACCTTAGGTCCATTTTCACGATTATTAATCTACGAATAGATCTTTCCGATCACATTATTAATCTACAAATAGGTCATTCCAATCACATCCTTGGCTTATACTGGCTGCTGCTTCTTGGCAATCTTAAAGGCAGGTGATACGATGAAAATGTATGTTGCAAAAGGGGGGTGCGCACTATAAAGGGATGCGTGATACCCAGGAGAGCGAAACATCAGGTCCTGCGGGCGAAGGACGCGCCTGTAGGGGCCTATCAAGGCCTTAAGCTTCCCTCTGGTCGCCCTCCAGTTGGCTACCCCAGTCATAACGGCTACAGTCCAGTGGTCCTCGTCGTTGGATTCTCACCTTTTTAGCAGAGACGCAGAACAGAGTGCAACGTTGATGACGTCAGCACCGATGAGACTCGTCCAACGCGAAAATCGGGGAACAAGAGTACCGTTCGCGGGCTTGGGACCCTTTACCTTGGTTTTTTCTTCAAGGCTGCACCCCTTAGCAGCTTTACCTTCAATTCCAGCAGACGGCCAATTCATCGTGCTACCTGCCTTTAAACACAGACCGCCGTCATCACTACGCTCGCACATTAGCGCAACATCTCCAACAAACAATCCTAGAGAGATCTATTACTGGCATCAAGACAGAATAGCCGGATTACGACCTCCTTAGCAACTAATTTGAATGACGTTATTCCTTCACACCTATATATTACCTCCGTCGTATATTTTTGGTCCAATTTTCCGGACACCTAGAATCAACTTCGTGTCAGTGTTCAGGGTACCCAAGCTCAATATATATGATATTAAATCCTCAGGTGAGATTGGAAGTGGGTTTTCAAATAGCGCAGTTTGCTACCTCCTTTCCACTTTCGTGGTGATGGTGGTGGTGGAGGCGGTGGATGATGGTGGAAAGGGCGTTGGTCCTCCGGTAATGATTCAACGATGTCGAAGATTTTACGATGACGTTCTCTCCAGCTCAAACTCTAAAAACCTTGGGTATATATCGGTTTGGCAGCGTTATTGATCGTTATCGATTGCTTCAATTGTATTGCCTTACCGTATCGCGATGTATTTTTGTGAGCTTTTCGCGGACCGGATCCGGTAGACGTTCGAAAAATGGAGGAAGTGGAAGTTTTTCAAGGATTTCCACTGGCAGCGATGACAGTATATCTTCGACTTTCTCCTGTTTTTTCTTAAATAAGGAACCATTAGAGAATCGATAGTGATGCATCGAAATGGACAACTGTCACTAGGGCCACATAGCGTAGATACCTCGTCAGATAAGGCGCTGTTCCTGTCTTGATGTCGTTCACTTTCTGCATGATATCTTCAAGTAGAACTTCGTCAAAGCCAGGCGGCAGGTCTGTAAAAATGGTTATATAGCCCTATTCGAGCCCATCTATCCCATCGAGTGTCTATCTCACCAAATAATTCATTGGAGGCTCACTTCACTACATCAGGATGGTTGGATGGTTATCGGGGTTCTTAATTAAGAATGCATCGTTGTGCGGTCCAAAAATGGGAAAAGGAATCGCCGGAAGGGCCAAAAATAGAAGGCTTTATGGCTGTTTTTGAGCATTATGCAAGGTAATTTCGAGGGAGTGTGGGGAGAGGGGTCCTGGCGAGGAAGAATTGAAATAGGATAGGGACTAGAGAGACGCAGACAGGCGAACGTTCGGGTGACCTGGAGGAAATTCCGCTCTGGACTTGACCTACGCTGTGCACGATCAGTGGCGCTTTTGAGAACACAGGGCGCGATTAGATTCTGGAGAAAACTCTCGTCCTAATGATAGCAAGGATTCTAATCTCAGGGATGATGGTGCTGTCGCGATCTAGAAGGCGCGAACATACCACCACACCTGTGACAGGAGAACTGACGCCTTCGCTAAACCGCTGCGACCGCTGCCATTTTATCAATCGAGGCATTGATGGTGTTTATCCCCTCTCGCGTACGACGTGCCCTTTCGCGTTTTCCCACTCTTCGCAGTGCTGCTTTTCTCCGTCATGCCGACCTCGCATGAGAATTTTAATGGTTTCCGCCGTGCTTTCTGCTTGTCTTCCCCATTTAGGCTCCTGATCGTACTTTTCTAATTTTTGAACAAAATAGCAGAACAGCTCGATCCTCCGTGCCTTTGAAGGCAAAGTCTGCGATTTCTGGTCGGAATTAAGCCTTTCCCGGAGAATAAGCAGCGGTATGCTAGCGGGGAGCATCTACAGAGATGTCGGGATTATTTGACAAGGCCGAAGCGTGAAAGCAGTCCCAGCAGGGTTTTTACCTTGAACACTAATGGTGTGGAACGATGCGCTAGCCCTAGTCAAGAACATAAGAAGTGTGACTGAACAAAAAACTCACCTTGGAAAGCCGCTAGAAAGGGAGCTGAACGGCTTCGAAGTGGGCGTGGTTGCTCAGTCGGCTGCAATCCCCTCGGCCGACTTCCAACCACGCCCACTTCGAAGTCCCTTCCAGCGGCTTTCCAGGGCGAGTCTTTTGGTTTTCCGCTGCTAGAGATTGGGACTTTAATTTGATTTGTTCCGTTAATTTATCAGTGACATTGCACTTCACAGTCACTATCAGTTTCTCAACATCGATCGCTTTATCTTTCTGATATCCTGGAACGTTTCTCCGATGTCAACTACTCTTACCTCCTCCTTTTGGTCTTCCTCGGTGTGGTCGTGGTGGGTGTCGAGGTCTAATATCATCTGGTAGCGCATCAATGATCGCATGGATCTTTTGGTGACGTTCATGCCATGACATACTCTGAATAATGGATGTTGATCAGCTGGTCCCCATTATTGATTGCTATCGATTGATAGCCGTTGTCAGTCGACCCCACCTTATCTCGACGAATCTGCTTAATCTGTTCCTGTGTTTCTTTTGGAAGATCCTTGAAAAATGGTGGGTGCGGAAGTTTGTCGACGATCTCAGTTGGTAACGAGGAAAATATCTTATCAGATTTCTCGTGTTTTTGCTGGAAATATTAGCCTAGAATGGTTCACAAATTTCGAATAGCAAAAATACTCTGTTTCCCGAAGTCGTGGATAACTTCGTATAGCGACTTATTGGCAAACGTGCGATGGGCTCTGGAAAATATGATATCCGTGCACTTTTTATGCTCTTTGATCTCGGTTTCACTAAGTTCGATTACGACTGTTCTGCTGTAACGAATAAAGCGTACATACGTACTTCTTCAGTCAACGCGTCGTTGTCCTGGATCAGCTTCAACTGCTGCAAAACTTCTTTGGGCAGAACCTCCTTGAAACCGGGCGGTAGTCCTGTGGAGATTAGGTTAGTTAGTTAGAGTTAGGTCAGGCGGCTAGTTAATCGGTTTAGTATCAATTTTAGATAGGTAAAGTTTATTCGGATCAATCGAAGACGATGTTTAAATACTGCATTTGATATTGCTTAATGATTTCTAGTTCAGTGTAGCGCGTGACGATCAGGAGGTCGCCGATGGTTTCCTGATCCGCTGGTTACGGCTATCTCTTTCGAGTCAGGTAGTTGTTAGCGCTTTGCTTTAGCGTCAAGCTTGTCATTTTAACGGCGTGTGTGTAACATCTTGAGACCTGTTTTCTTGGAATTATAGACATTATAAAGATAGTTCAAGGTTTTATGAAAGGAAAAAGAATTTGTGGACATTCTGTTAGGTTTTTTTTCACACAACATGCAAATGTGATCTGATGCGAGGTTAAAAGATGGAGTATTTCAGCCGCGCGCGACACCGTTCCGTCGCGTCGTGGACCTCCTGACCGCCACCCTTTCGCTACCATGTTAGAGGCTACTTTTGCATGCAAAGAACTACTAACTTCATGCTGTATACCATATCTAATTAGACTTCTGGCTAAACTTGACTAAATCATAGCTAATTATCACGTTGAGGATCGGAGTCGGGTTAGCCAGGCGGTTTTTATCCCATCGGGATTGAAAGACTACATGCCATCCCAAAAAGATCGGCAGTTAGAAAGTATAGTTATAGGTATTGAGCTCAAGCAGGACATGCACGCACTTGTTAGTTACCCTGAGCAAAAGTCGGCAAGTTTCAGGTTTGTCGGCAAGAAGGACAGCTGTAGAGCAAATAATTTATTGCTATAATTTCCGCACAATATTAGTACGATCCCAGTACAGAAGCAGCACCACAACAGCACAGTTTCAGAATCGACAACACGGGTCTCCGCCCAGTTTTGAAATGGGAAGCCAGTCAATGATTGAATCGTCGTGTTGGGCCATTTGCGCTCAGAATGTCCGTGGTGGCGGCCCTGAGAAAATGGAACACCTTAGTATCGTAGGGCAATTCTCGGTATAGCAGCTCTATATTCTCAACCGGTTATTCCCCTAGTATTCCTCTGTTTTAATGGTTACAATTTGGAAACACTGTTTTTCCTATTGATCGGTTTCGCTCGAGAAAAATCGATTATTTGCATTTTTGAGAGGTTCTAAAGTCGTGGTATGCTTACCTCTGTGTCCTCCTGGTCCGTGTGGTGGATGTGGGCGAAGCTCAGGCGGCAGCGAATCAAGGATAGCATGGACTTTTTGATGACGTTGACTCCAAGTAAGTGACTGAAAAGTACCCAATGGTCTATTGATTTATCGCTGGCGCTATTAAAGGCACACTCCGAGGGAACATAGGTATGACTTGTGGCGCAAAAAATCAAAGTGAGGTTTTTAGCAGGTCAATGACGCTGAACAAAACCGGGACCCGTAAATCAGGGTCATAATTTCTTGATTTTTTGATTTTTGAGAGCAACCCAAAGAACAACCCAAAGGAGGAGTTCTAGGACGAGTTCTCCTTTGCAGACGTTTTTTCAGATCAGCTATGTCATCTGTTTTCCCCACTAGACCTTTCACTGCTGAAATTGACGTCATTTTCTTGACATGATTACTCGCAGACCACCCTCATCAAACTGTGGCCGTAGTCGAGGGGCGGGACTTGTACTGGGGGCGGGGTTTGCGCGCTCTGTGAGCGTAGAGGGACGGGGATCACGTGATTGTGGCGTCGAAGGCGGGATTTGCGTGCGTTGTTGGCGGAAGAAGCACCCTTACTAAGATGTGGAGTGTTTATTTCTTGAGTGTAACTTGGCTGCGCACGACAGCTCACTTACCATGCACTTCGACCGAAACTTCGAGATGGGTGAAGAGCTGCCGCCATCGCGCAGTGACTAACCACCACCCCTCTGAGGAAGACACGCTCGGCTTCTCAATTTTTCTCCCTCCTCGAAAGCAGTTATCCAGCATAACTATACGCCAGCGAACTAGTCTACCCTTCTCGCCTGGATGGAATCGCGATGGGAGCAGAATGTGTCTCTGAGAAGAATAACGAGCCTGCTCACCGTGTCATGGTGAACTTGTTCGACTTTAGCACGAACATCTGCCGGTAAATCTTTGATGAATGGCGGGGGTGGTAGTTTGGCGAGGATTTCACCTGGTACCGAATTCATAATCGCGTCGATCTTCTGGTGATGTTGCTAAATAGTAAATGAATCACTAGAAATGCCATGTAATCTTTTTAAAAGGGATTAAGGAGATAATAGCTCACCTGAGGCGACAAAGAAGTATCTGCATCGACTGCTTTCATCTGTTGAACGATGTTCGGTGGCAGAACTTTTTCGAACTCTGGTGGCATCCGCTGGAAAACGAAGCGGTATATGTAACGAGCGAGTGAAGTATTGGGCGCTCATTTCCTTAGGGGGATATTGAATGAGTGGGCCACTCATAGAATCTAGGGACTAAGCCTAAGGGAGGGGAAAGGATTCTGGGAGAGGATGTGAGCAACCATTGTTCTCCCTGGTGTTTATTCCCAATCCTGGGCTTAGTCCTAGTGTCACCTACCAGCGGTTTTTGAATGCCCTGTTTTGAATGTCACCCCTAAGGACATGAGCGCCCATTTCTGTAATGGCAATTTGGCCCAGCTCCTGTTTAGGACCAAAGAAATTGAGTTTTGATCTTGGGTGTTGTCCAGGTTTATTTGCAACGGCTGGGAAAGTTTGCGGAATTAGTTAGAGAGGACATTAACGTTGCTGCCGGCGAGAGCTCTGCTCCAGCAGCAGTTTCTCTCCCATGGCGTCTAACGCTAGAGTTAGGACGATGCTTGATGTTTTTCTATCCGCGCAGGTGCAAGGAGGAATCAAGAGGCTTCATCGTGGGACCCCATCGTGGCTTGTTCTGGTCGATGATGCGTTCGGATCAGAGCTGGGATCCCTCGGCAACAGGGATAAGCATGCCGTCGTGGGAGGGGCGAACGGGGGAATAGGGTGGGGTGGAATCATTCGACCAACTGCAAGGCAGCCCTCCTTAGCAAAGTTATCGGCTTCGGGCTTTCTAAAGTGGGATCAATGCGCGTCCTTTTTTCCATTCAGGACCGGGCGCCTCGGGCGCCTCGTCAGCTGACCGATGTACGGGACCCCCTTTCGTCGGCTTTGCCTAAGTTCCGCGGTTCGAAACCCCTGCCATCGGCCCACCAAGCGAATGCCATGGTCACTTTAAGCTCAATTGGCTTAGGATTTATCCTCAAAAAAAAGCTCACCTTAAGGGGGTGCTATTTGTCCCTTGAGCGGTGAGGGCCCTGACTTAATGTTCTGATTTGAGACGGGTCAGCTTTCTATGGCTGGCCGCACAGGTTTTATGTATGGGTATATGAGGAGGATGAGGTACCCCGCCTGCTGAAGCATGTGTGCATGGAACTGCGATTTTTGAGTCATGAAAGTACTTCCGCGCGCCACCGGTATGGAAGCTGAAGAATTCCACTGTCCCTGAAACAAGCTCAGCGAACGGAGGCGCGAGGCTGCGCAACGGTGCAGAAACTCTGAGGCCCAAATCCTCCCGCAGGAAAGGAGCAGGAATAAGGACCGACTCGACGCGTGTCTGTAAGGGATGAGAATGAGTTCATCTTTCTGGATTTCCTCGGTCAAGAGGCGTGAGCTCAAGAACAGGCGGATTCATGGAATGGTCACCTCTCGACAGAGGAAATCCGGAAAGGTGAACTACAGTAATGATTGACTCGTCCTACCCGTGCTTTGGGCAATTTCATCTTGGCACTGGGAAGCTTTTGGTCTTTAATTAACCGAATTTCATCTAGGGGTCATATGAGTTCGCAGGTGACTTAAAATCCAGTTTTTCTTACGAGCACCTCCACACTGATCGAACAAAATCGTAAGACTGGAGGACTCTTTGTAGAATAATCAAGGGTTGTGAGATATAATGGTTAGAAAAGAATACCCGAGGCCCATGTGGCGGTGGTTGAGCAAGAGCCAAGCTGACGACGAGGAAGACGAGCAGACACCACATATCGCGGCCTGGGCAACTGAATTGCTACCACGGTACCGCATAGCAATATATACCAATCAGTTTTAGCCAGTGTGTTTGCACGTCGTGAACAATCTCGACGATACACCGTTCGCGCATTACGTGCATAAAAACATCCTTTTCGCGACCGCCACGCAACCCGCTCGCTTCGTTGCGACGTCTGCGTCTCGACCTGGTTACCGTTACCCAGCGGTGAAATGGTCAACGATGAGCAAACATCTGCATCAACTCGTGCGACCACACACACTTGACGAAGTGATCCCAACGAACCTCACGATGAAACCATCGTGGACAATAAGCCCGTGGTAGTAACCCTACTTGTGACCGTAAATAGCCATGTGACAAAAGGGGGTTCACCCGTGAGGGGCTCAAGTGCAGTTTGACTCGTAGCTTTTTAAGTTTGAATGGCTGAGCGTCCTGAAATAGGCATAGATGGATTGCGGGCAGCGCAAAACTACCTGGCATTACCAAGGGTTTCCAGGCAGAATATTTCCCTAGAAGGACATTTTGCGAAATCCTGGGTAGTGCCTTTTTCGGAGTAGCCTCATCGATTTTCTCAGGGTCATTTTTTGTTGCTATGATGTCCTCTTATTTTGCCTCTTTGACAAAAA